AGGCCTCCCCGGCTGATGTGCAGCTGGGGTGGGGGGAGAGGGGGGTGCGGGATGGGACTGGGGACCTGCTGCCATCAGGGCTACCAGCACCCCTGACCCCCACCGAATGGGGGCTGGGGGCTCTCCCTGCCCCCTGGCTGTAACCAAAACGGGGTGTAAAAGCAGCTGCCTGGGTGCCAGTGGTCCCCTGAAGCTATGGTCCCCCACCATCCTGAGGGGGGGTGTGTGTGTGCTATTCTGCCACACCAGTGCCCCAGAGGGATGGGGGTCTGTGTCCCCCCGCTGTCCCCAGGCCCTTCAGCTCTTGCTGGGCTCCTCGTCCTCCAGCGGGACCTCCTGGCTCTGCTGCTCCATCTGTGCCCTGTGAGGAATGGACATGGCGTGGATGGACGTGGCATCGGGGGCCAAGCCGGTGGGGAGAAGACCCCAGTCCCCCCTACCTGCAGATCCTGCGCTGGGCCTCGGCGCGCACATAGGGCGGCAGCGTAGCGAGGGGACCCTGCAAGAGAGGGGCCGTGGGGATGGGGGTGCCCGTCCCCGAGGAGAACCGCCCTGCTGTGCCCCAAAATCCTTACCAGTTCCTTGAAGGTGAGGCGGCAGCTGTAGCACAGCAGCGGGATGAAGGCAGCTTTGCTCTCAGCCCTGTGGGGACAGGAACCATCAGCGGTGCTGGCACGGTGGCCCCGGTGCCGGCATGGCATCCCCCGCTTCCCGTGTGCTCACCCCGCTGCCGGGGTGTCCTGGCAGCACCCGTCCTCCACTGGCTCCGTCTCCTCCATGATCAGCGTGGGCTCCAGGGCCAACTCCTCCTCTGCAAGACCCAGACAGTAAGGGTGCAACTGGGGGTGCATGGCTGCCTCCCCCCCTAATCCCCCGTACCCCACCACTGCTCTCCCCCTCACTCACCCCCGGCGATGTCCAGGGCGCACAGGCAGAGCAGGCAGCGCTGGGACTCGCTGCTCGCCTTGGCCGGAGCCGGGCTCAGCTTCTCCCCCGTCCTGTAGCCAATGTGATGAGGTGAGCGGATGCATCCCCACACCCCCCTTCACCCCCGCAGTGCGCTCGGCGTGGGGGATGCTGTACCGGTAGACGGTGCTGATGGTGGAAGGGAAATCCTCCTGCAGCCCCAGAAGGAAGCGCTCCATCAGGCGGTGGATGCTGGGCTTCTCCCGGCGCTGGGGGAGCAAGCGGAGAGGATAGGGTTGGGGTGGGGAGGGGGTCTCATCCCCATCGTGGGGACACGGAGCTTGGGATCCCCCCAGTGGGGTGCAGGGGACATCCCTACCTTGGTGGGGAGGGGTGGCGCGATGACAGTGGGAACATCGAAGAAGTGGTTGTAGAAGGCAATCTCCTTGGCCATGTACTCCCGCATGGGACGCACCACCATCACATCACCGTGGCGGTTGTCCACAAAGCCCTGTGGGTGCATGGCTACCGAGGGACCGCACCGCCACCAAGCCACAGACACCCCCCAAGGCATTGTGTCACCCCTTCAGGGGAGGACAGCCATCCCCAGCTCAGGGACAGGGTGCCGGTGGGCTGCTCACCGTGTCAACGGCGAGGAAGGCGCCACGACCCAGCGCCAGGTTGGTGAGGAGCTTGATGGCCACGCGGGTGCAGCTCTCGCCCGTCATCACCTTGGTGTAGCCCCTGGTCCGGGCTGTCTGCAGGATGAGGTGGGTCCTGGGGGACAAGGTGACACCGGCTCAGAGCCACCACGCCATGCCCGCTGCT